CTGTAATAAGCATAAAATGCTTAAATTAGCTGAAATAAAAAATAACGAAAATCACAGAAAAACATTTAAATCAGAAGAAATCAGCTGTAATAAGCATAAAATGCTTAAATTAGCTGAAATAAGCTTAAAGATGAAAAATGTTTTAGCAGAAGAATAGCAGAAAAAAAGCTAAAATCAAGAAAACAAGCTGATGAAAGGTGAAATTGGCACAAAGAAGTAAAAAAATTGAATTAGAACAAAAGGTAAACACTTCAGTAAAGATTTGTGAACATTTTAAAGGATTTGAGGATGTTGAAGACGCCTCCATTTATTTTCAATGAGAAAAAAAAAGAGACAAAGCTAATTTCTCAAATAGGATAAATTTTTGAATCATCAAAAGTCTTAGAATGTTTTGAAGGAGCCGAAGGTTTTAAAGACCGTGTAAAGTAAATTTTTTACTAATAATTACTTTACTTTTTTTACTAATAATAATCCAATAATAAATGTTGATTCCCCCCACTTTTTTTTAGATAATTTACCCTGTCAAACGCCGGATATTGTTTACTTACGAGACAATGGGATAGTGGAAAATAGAGTGGAAAATCTGTTCACCCAAGTCGCAGCGCAGATGATGTCTGCTAGTTTAATCTGGGACTATTCTGACAAATATGTGTTGGAAAGTGTCAAAATATATTCTGTTCAATAATGTTTAGCCTATTGATTGCATAACTGGCTATGCTAGCACGACATTTTGCTAACATCCATGGAACAAAAAATACTGTATATACCATTCTGATGCAGGCTGTGAAGAACGCTGACCATCACAGTGGTCACTGTCTGACTCAGAGTCTGAGTCTGGCTCTGGTGGATCAAACGAGTAGGGCTGGAGAACTCCAAGGCTGTGAGCCTAGCGAACATCTCCTCAGTACACACAGCTCAGTGCGTGGGCGTGGTTTCAGCGCCTCCAGCTGACACGCCTCCAGCTGACACGCCCCCAGCGTTTTCAGAACAGAGCCAATGATGCTTTTTATTTTTATTTTTGAGACTTAATTTTATAAAGTAAACAATGTTTTTAATTAGTCAAATTTAGATGGGTGATTAATAACGCATATTTCTGTCATGTGACAAACTCAAAACTCAAATTTAATTTTACTTTCCACGGTCTTTAACATATAAATTGTTGAAGTAGCACAAAAATTGAGGAACAAGATAACGTACCGAAAAACATAAAGAAAAAAATTAATCAATGCTTTATAAGCATTCACACAATAAGTGGGTTTACATTTACGGCTGTGTCCAAATTCAGAGGCTGCATCCTCAGAAGGCCCAATTTGTCGGCTGCTTATGTCACAGCGCCGCGCTGTAAGGCTGTCCAAATTCAAAGTCTCCGATGCAGCCCACAAATGCGTCCTCCCTTTTCCCTGATTTGAGAGACGGATCTGCTGGATCCTTCTTAGTCCACCCTATCCCATAATGCATTGCAGGCCGACCGGAGATTTTTTTAATAATGGCAGAAGCTAGAGAAATGAGTAGTTTTAATAAAAAAATATGGCGGTACATAAATTAAAAGTTTCAAGTGGTTGTGTTGWTAATGCTTATGTTTTTAAATATTATTCTTGTCAGAAATCAAACGAGCTTGTATAGTGAAATAAACGTGCATCTATGGCAGGTCCCTTAGTTCTTCAAATATTGCCTTTAAGCTAATTTTGTTGTTTTATGATATTAATTTCGATATATTTATATAAAAATGGCCACCACTCTGTCAGTTTTGCAGATGTTGAGCTAAAGTTTGGTTTGGTTGTAGCTGAGAATGCTCCACAGCACGTACTCTGGGTGCCAGCAGATTGCAGAAGACCTTTGTTTAAAACTTTGCCAGTAAGGCAACCCTGTCTGTCTGTGCAAATTATCCCATGATTTCTTGGACAGGTTTAAAACTTTCAGGAAATAATCAGTGGATTAATGTCTACAGCTGATTAACGTTTGGAGTTGCTTCAATTTAACAAGGCTGCCACATCTAATCGACAATTAACACAAAAATGGCTCAGTCAGTTTTACAACCATTCAGCTTAAATTTGCTGTGAAAGTTATTCACAACCCGTACTCTAAGCTCTCCAAGTTATAATGGTATTGAATTAGATTGTGCCTAACAGTATTATACAGGTTAAAACGGAATATATACAGCGGGTAAAATAAGTAT